GTACATAAAGTAACCCTTGCTAATGTCTCTATCCACGAAAGCCCGACACGTGCACCATATCCTCCCCCACCCGGAGAGCATCCGAGCGAACCGAATTCATTCGGTGGTTTCGAGGCGGCTACTACTTTACCACGCTGAACAGATCAAGTAGCGTCGGCTTTACACGAATCAATGTGGCAGTACCATAAATACCGATCCCTTTACGTACGACCGGAGCTTCGATGCAATGAGCAGAGGAGGAGGAGAGTGGTTACGGGTGCACTTCTCTCCCCCACCTGACCGCCCTCTTTCCATTTCTCCCGCTCTCGCGTTTCCATCTCGAACCGCACGACCAGGTCGAAGTCTTTATTGCGGTCTTGCGATCGCCGCATTTTACGAGCGCGTGGTGCCCGTTTACCGGCCACCGGTTTACCGAGCCGAGCGTGTAACCGCGTAGGCGCTCAGCCCACGGCTGGAAAATAAGCCGAGGTTACCTCCTCGAGATACGAGTTACGAGGCGAGGAAAGAAGGAAGATGTTCGATGGATATATGCTATAAACACGCGGGGATACACGGAAACGCTTAGTTGATTCACCGCGGCTCGAAGTAACGCGACTGAAGTAAAACGTGACCGTCTTACGAATAAATGGGGTAGTGAAGCATTGGCCAGAGATGAAGACGCATTTTCCAACGAGACTATGAACGCGTGTTTTTTTCGAGCTAAGTGTGTAGTATATGTATACACGGATGTTTTGAATTTTCGTTGTGTGATCGAATTTTATGCGTGGAAATTGACAATAATGGGTTAAGATTTTTTTTTATATATATAAATGCATATTCTTGTTTGCAAAAGGAAGTTGAGAAGTACGAAACGAGACGAAGGTAAGAATTTTTGTTTCAACAAAAATTGTGAAAGTAATGGGCATTACCAGTAAAAGAGTACACACAGAAGTCACGATTGCACGACGTAATCTTGTTACGCAACGGAAATCTACTTTTTCCTCGGGAGCCTGAACCGTAATAAGCACCGAATTATTACCTTTCATTGCTTTTATTTTGGGGGATGAAATTCGTTATTCGCAGGTAGGAATTGAAATGCTCGCTTACTCTTGCCGGCAAGAGGCAAGAAAGAAAAAACATTGGAAATATAAGAGGGGTGGTTCGAATTCTGAGCCGATGTGTATCTTTTCATCTCGCGGTTTTTATGCGGGGGAAAAACGGGGGATGAAAGCGAGGCCGTAAGAAAATACACAGGCCGGAGGATGTTCCATCGTTGAAATCATAACGAAGCGTGTAAAAGTTTCCCGTGGACGGAAACGGAACTTCTTCCTGTTTTTACGCGGGGATATCTGCGGTTGGTCGGATGGTCGAGTGGAACAAGCTTGTTGCCGGTTAATACCTGAAATTACGTTTGCCGGGAACACTGGCTAACGGCGTTTTCCACCCCTTACCCCGTAGACCTTCCTTTCAACATGGAGCTTCAACATCGTGAAACCGTCTTAACGACATTCGAGAATTTTAACCAAGGAAATATGCAGATTTGAGGAGCGGGCGTGAAACACGAGCTGTAAACTTGTATTATTTCCAACTCACGATGAGAGTGTTAATGCGTGGGATAAAAATTCTTGTGGCGTACACAATGATGAAGGGGTTCAATCGTTCGATCTTGGAATAAATTAATACGCGAAGTGGAAAGAAATGATGGATGAATTATTTCTGAAAAGTGATGTTTTTTTAACGCGATATCGAATATTGATCTTTGATAAGCATAAAAAATCGCGAAAGTGGAAAATGCAAAAATTCAGAATGATTGTGGTATTGATAGTAACATTTGTATTAAATTCAAATGGAAAACTGTTTCGTATTTCTTGAGAAAAGTTCAAACTATCAACCGTCAATGAGTAAACTTTATTGCAAATTCTTATGCAATACACGAAGACATTCGTAATTGATTTTTCGTTGACAAATATATTTGATATCATTGATAAAGAATAAAAAAATTTGAGACAATGTTGAGAAGTTCCTATTATATATGCGTAGAAACGAGAAAAGATATGAGAAATATAATCCCTCTTCACGATTTCTAGCCAACAATTCTACAATTTCAATCCGAATTTTCGTCATTCTACTCTTATCTCTCCTACACATGCTTGCCAAGTGTCTGAATTTCGATTCAGTTTCATCATGAAAAATATCAATTCTCGGTCGGTGCACGGATTGGAGTACTTTTTTCCCTCAGATTCTACAGAGAAACCATTTTTCTTTCCCCTGATGTGACGCGTTATCATTTTTCACGACACGTGGAACGAAAAGCGAAAGTTCTAATCGAAATGCGTGCAATCTCTTATTCTCGAGTAAGGGAGAAAAAAGAGCGAGAGGAAGATGTGTGGAGCTTAAAAAGAGAGAGACATGGGTACGAAAGGTCTGTTATAAAACGGCGATACACGGAAAGAACATTACGGTATAGAAGAGAGAGAAAAAAAAAAAAAAGATGGCGATGCAGAGAGAATCCGATTGGAATCACGACTGATGTGCGTATTATTAAATTAGTATCTTGACGGTGTCGACTCGAGATTTCGCCACCTGGAATCGGTGAACCTATTATTCCACCTGACTGACGCTCTTTTTCAGCTGCATTTTCTCGCTTGTTTTCACCTCCACTTTTTTTTATTCTGGCATGTCTTCGTCCTTACGAGCCTCGTGCGGACGTTAAAAATGTAATAAACTCGCGCGAGGGTTCATTAAATATTTGAAGATGAACCTTCAAGAGGCTGGATGGCAACCTTTCTCGATTTCTTGCAAGGGTAACCGTGCGTGCAGTACAGTTGTTCGTGCGAAATGTTGGCATTCGCATGTGCACTTTAAGGCCTGAATAAACTTTACTACGTTAGGGCATTACGAGCAATCCAATTTATTATCTCATTGCTCGATAAACAGCTTGGTTTATTTATATATGTTTCTTACGGAATTTTTATCGATTGTCAAACTTGCGATTGTTTTTAGTGATCCTGGATGAAGGCATGTGTCCAATGATTATGAGATTGAAATTTTATTAGGCTCATGTATTGATAATTTCTTTAAAATTATTGTTACTTTTTTGTTGTTAATAAGTATCATAATATTTTCTGACACATATACTTTGATACTTATCACAAATAAAAAAAAATATTTTTATATTTTATGTATTTTATCTTTAATGTAAATATGATTTAAAAAAAAATGCGTACAAAGATAAAATATTTACATATTACACGCTCTCTCGTGTGTTGACAAAGATATGATAAATGTCACGTATGCAGCCATTTATAATCAAAAAATTTAAATAAAAAATTGTGTATACGAATAAAAAATTAATGATTCGTATAATATAAAAAAAATTTGGAATCTTTATTAGAAATAAATATTTGAAATATTTAAAAAAGGCAAATATTTTACGAAATGTATATCTTATGAGAACTCTAAGGGAAACATTCGTCGCAATTCAAATAAATATTAACGCGAAAAATAGGAATGATGAGAACGTTCTACGAAACGTTTAAAATATAAATCCCAGGAAATTAAAGAAGCATCTGTAAAATTCACACGTTTTACACCGGTAGAAACGTGATCGTTTCTATAATTACAATGAAAAATACGTTTGAACGTGTTCGAATTCAGCATACGGGAAAAATTTACATCATTCTCTATACCAATTATATTTATATTTAATTACCTTACATGAGTTTTTCTTTTCGTTGGGAATATGAATTCATAAAACACATCATAAAACACTTATTTGCAAAACACGTTTAATTTAAACTCCATTGTTTCGTATATTCGTATAATTGGATGGAGAATTTTTCTTTTCTAATTTGACGCATGAAATATCTTGTAGAACATGGTTGAGCATCGAGAAACAAAAGGAACGATAATGGATGAAAAGCCTTCTGTAATGTGGCGATGAATAATGTCGATTAGTCGTATTCCAGTCGTAAATTCATTCGATATATATATACAGGATATTCTGATTAAAAATATGTTTTATTTTCAATAAAAGATAACTAAAATTTTAAATTGTTTTTAAATTGCGATTAAAAATTTGTAGAAATCATTTCTTTCAGCGAAGATTGATCTTTTAAAATGGTATACATTTTAAATCTTATATCATATATATTTACTTGATATTATAATCGATATTAAGACGAGATTTTGAGATAATTATGAATTCAGAAATGTGAAATCAATGAATGGAAATGTTTTCCTGAAAAATCAAAGACTTCACATCAAAAACAATTCTCGTCGATTTTTGTCTTTTTCTAGTTTAATTTTTCTCTTTAATTTTTCTTCAATAAATTTAAATCTTCTTTAACAAAATATTCATTATATACCATTACACGAAATATTGTAAATATTATTTTCATGTTTAATTAAATCACAAAGTTGTAATGGATCTTATTATGATCGGACAAGAGATGTTTTTATTTATTTATTTTATTTTATTTATTTTTTTTTTGATTTCCATATGTTACTATTGATATTTTTGTTCATATTCAGGTCCGTGTTTCGGTGTTTTAATATTTTTCATTAATAGTTGAAAGAACAGAGAATGAAAAAGCAAAGAAAGATTGATGCAAGAAGGGCGCAGCTGGATCCGTCTCGGCAATAGTCGTTTCTGTGATGAACTAATACATAAGTAAAACCCTTCTCTAAGTTCGTAAACTTTCAAATACATTCCTGAGTCTCTTGGCCATTGCCACACGGACGAGAAAGTTCCTTCTTCTCCGCATTTGCTCCGATCTTCAATTCTTTTCTTATTTTTCCCCCTTTGTCTCGTTCAGGGGATTCTTGAATTTTTCCAACTGTAATTTTTTTCTTAAATAATATACACTTTCACGACAAGTGAAAGGTAACAAATGTTAAATATACATTATTAAAAAGATGTCTCTGAAATTTTTTTTTCTTGATACATATTTATCTTTATTTATGAGAAGTGAAGGAAACCTGAGAAATTATTATTATAACATATAATATTATAATAAAAATCTTGTATATCAATTGTATATAAAATAAAATTTTCTTCTCGATGGTATCCGTAGTGTCTCTTAATTACTGTTTTATTTAATTTTATGCTCCACTCGAACCATGAATTTTTATATCGTATCATACATATTAAATTCAAATTTTGAATAAATTTCTTCGACTTTTTCATGTATTTCATGTATCTCTTGAATGAAGGTATTTATCCTCTATTCAGGATATGGTTTTGTTGTTTTTAAATAAGAATTAATAATGAAAGAGAAAGTTACAGATGAATCGAGAAAATATGCTAATCGCTTATTAATACACGAAATAAGCATCGAAAATATTGGAGCATAAGAGAGTGCAAATTTCAAACATAAGACAACAGATGTCAAAGTTCAAATTTGCACAAGATGAAAAAGGATAGATACCTATTTGACGTATGCAAATCTAACGTAATAAATTTGAAGAGAATACGTGCATAGATATGACTTCCTGCGTGTAAAGGAGGTGTGATACGAGATTACAAACCGTATTAGTGGCGGATTATAGTGTACAGGACTTGGTGTAACTGAGGATACTACATCTTAGTAAGCATTAAAATCGTGTACATACATACGAATGCATGTGAATCGAGAACCAAGATGCAATTATTGCGCAGATAAGCTGGATACAAAGATTGTAATGCTATTGTGCATTCGTGCGCATAGGTAAAAGTAATTCGCAATGCTCATTTCCTTCCTTATTCTCGAATGTTGCATTTGGATCTAGTTCAATTTCCATAATTATATATAATAATTTATCGCGTTTACAATATATTATATATATATTCATATGTTATATTATACATTATTATACATTATTATACATATATTCATAAATATAGACATCTTTAAATAACCGATTCTAAAGACTAAAAAACACACAAAAATTAATGTACTTGATTTGAATATAACTTAATAAATAAACAATATTCTTTTACGTATAATTCTATGCTATATTTTCCTAGAGGAAAAAAATTACTAAATAACAGATAAATCACCTGTCAGATAAATCAATAAACGTTCATTTAGAAATTTAATTAATATCCTTTAGCCACATCCCTCTGCCGAAAGATCCTGTTAGACGATTTCCACTCGACTTGGCGATAAAATTAATTTCTCCGGATCATTCGAAATTCTCTTAAATCCCTTTCCCTCCCCAGCTAAGGGAACCAAACAACAGTGGACCAAACAATGGTGCCGCCGTCCAATCTCTAAAGTCGGACCAAACGGACCTCTTAAATCGGAAGTCTCGCAAAGAAGTCTCGAAGCGAAAGAACCAATTACAACAAATTACAACCTCGCCTCCTTTCTCTTTGCCTTCTCTCCTGCCAGAAACAAGATGGTATCGGGCAGAATCGATAGATCCCTCGCGAGGCCGATTCAATCGCCCGTGATTGTTGTGCCCCGCACTTCCTCCACCGCCTAAATCTCCTTCTTGACCGCACGATCCTTCGCCACGATTCTCTCCATAATCCCTCTTTCTTCCTCCTCGGTGTCCTCCTCGCCCCTCCACCATCAAACGATGATTGCATCCAGGGAACGAGAATTGGGTCACGTCCCAAAATCCTTTAACGCGACCGCACCATCGTGAAATTTCTCCGTGGAGGACGATCGGTTTGATTCGGGGAAGATTCGAAAATCAACATGGCGACTTGGATTTGATTTAATCCTTCGCTAGTTGAATGTTTATTATCCCTCCGTTTATGGAATTGTATTTGCATCTCCCTGATGCAAACAATTTTTCCTCGGAAAGTTGGAATTGATTGGATTATCGAGTAATCTAAAAAATGGAGAAATGTAAAATGTACATACGTGCAAAGTTTAGTGAATTATTTATCTTCAGGTAATGATATTTAAAATTCATTGCTCGTTTCTCGATTAAATTTTTTAGCTCAATTAATAAATTCTATTGTTCTATATGAATATCGACGTATTCTTCTATAAATAGATAAGGTGAAAATAAGATCGTTTCGAATGTGTTATCAAAGTAATAATCCATTTCAGAAGAAACTTTCTCTCCGTCTCAAGCCTCAAGCAATATTATACGAATATGTATCTCAAGATCTTCAGATCCTTTTTAGGACTTTTAAGTTTTTTCTTTCGAACGTACTACACTTTTCATCGAAAGGAGTTAGGTCGTCAAGATTTAAGTCGATTTTTTAACCTTGCTTGATTCCACGTATTCAAGATGTATATTATAATAATTCATAAGCTTAATAAAGCTTAGATTATGTTGCGTGAAATTGAGCACGAAACAGTTAATTTTTATCCGTTAGAAAGATAAAAATGAATCACACGAGAAAGTGTAAGCAGTTGTTAAGAGTAAATAGTTTTCATTTGATTCGATGAAGTGATTCGGTGAGAAAGTGAATTCTCTGGAATAAAACTGGTTGATATCTTGGGATACTTCGATTCTATCGCATTGTCGTTAGGAGAGACAGCCAAGATGAAACCGTGTAAGTTCATTGATAACTGTAGGACTTGGAAAAATCGATGGGGGAGAGACGCGAGCATACGGATTTGCGAGGAGGTATTCGCGTTTATGGGCGCAGTAAAATTTCACGAGGATCTTCTTTTCTCCTATCTTCTGGCTCCAGTTCACGAATATCAATAGAAACTGAGAGCATCAGCGTAAAAAGTTGATTTTTCCCAGACAAGATCAGCAAATTATAAAATTATGAATTGGATGAATTTTTCATCTAAATAAATGATTTAAATACTTTATGACACTTTCATTTCTGATACGTATACTTCTTCACAATTGTTTGGGAAAAATATACGAAGAATTGTAATTTGATTTTTATCCATGATGGAATCAATAAAATCGAAATCGATTATAAAATTAACAGAAGGAATAAATTCCTCCATTAAAATTTCACATAGATATACGTTGATATCATTCAAAGATTATTCTTCATAAAATAAAAAATATCGAGAAACGAATTTAATTTCTCAGAAAACGAATATCTTATACATCTTTTTTATCCATAAAAATCCTTTCCATTCGTAATATTTGCATAATGGAATATTGCAAATGGATCAAGCCTATATATCCTATTATTATCAAATTTCTTGAAAATATCGATAAAACGTTGAGAGCATTGAAACTTTTCTCGAGCCCACCTTCGATATTCCACTTGAGAGATATTCCACTTCCTTTGTCCATTTCCTTTGTTATCCAAGAGCATTCTCGTGCGGTGCGCGACTTCGCGTTTGATTTGACAGTGAATTCTGGAAAAACATAACGCGAGCAAATTATGTAAGTTTAATGTGGCATCGTCTCCGGGGATCGAGACTATGAGGAAGATCGCGTCTTGAATATCGCGTGCCCCGTTTCCGTATTCTCCGCAGGGAGACGAAACCATTCGATACATATTGTACGGAGTGTCACGTACCTTTTCCAGTTACTGTCGCATTTTAGATTCAAAGGGACTATTTCCGTCTTGGATACAAGCTTTGCCGCGTGTACGTTTCGTCCAACACTTTCGAAATCGTGCCCTCTCAACTTCTCCCCCCTTTTTTTCTTCTTCAGATTTTTCACGGGGCAATAAACAATATTCGCAACGGTGTTGACGTGTCAACCGTGCGTCGTTTTTATGACGATTCGTGACATAAAAAAAAAAAAAAGAGAGAGAGAAAAAAAGTTCGAAGAAACATCCATAACGTTCAGAATAATACGTCACTCGCAGACGTGCAAACAACGCCGAAATACCTGTTGCTGCAAATTTCACTGTGAATTCCCTCAACGTGAACTCACTCGACTATTTTCATACGTCATGAGTCCTGTATGGACTTTTGATACGACAGTTTGATTTCGATAGCGACACCGATGACAACTCTTGAATAAATATGAACTGTAACACATCGGTGATTTAAAATATTCGAATTCGTGGGTAGTATTATTATAAATTATAAATTAAAAAGAAATCGTGAATCTGTTAATAAATCTCAAACTGTGGCTTTTCTTCTTCTTTCTCTAAAAAAATAAATCGCTCGCACATATCCAACAACTTTTGGTCTAGTTTTGAATCTAGAATTAAAATTCTAGACGCGAAATAATAATAAGTACTCTCGTACACATTCCTCATAAATAACAAATTATCACGAAACATGCACCAAAGTGACTTCCATCCCTAATAAAGTTAATTTCTCCATTTGAATTTTTCTTTGTAATGAGATTTCCGAGATCGTGCAAGTATTATAAGTATTTAATTTTCCATTTGTCTGATGAAATAGTATTGCTTTCCGATTAAATACAATTATCCAAAAAAACGTGCAGGATTCATAGCATCGACAAGAAAAGAAGACGGAACTTCTATAGACATTTATAAGCATCGATTATCACCGACTTTAAATGCAAGATTCGAGCGCGATTAACAATTGATCTGATTTATCAAACGGTATATACGTACGACTCGAACATCCTCGAGCTAATTAGATTCACTCCAGAGTCAAGCACCTCGTTGCAATCTATGAATCTCGGATTTCCTTAAACCGGAAACGTATTTCCTAACCGGGTTCATTCTCGACACAATCGACACGCTTTCATCCGCTTTCATGTCCCGTGCATAATCTCCCTGACTTCTCAAGACATCCTCCGCTGTAATTACGCTTCCGAGCTGATCCCTTTTAATAGGAATAGCTCGTGAAAGACCCTCAGCGGGCCCTTTGAGTCATTATTTCCACCGGCGGCCGCCTCTTCGATCCGATTCAATGATCTTGTTTCCCATGGTTTCCCCAATCTACGCTCTCTATTCTTCTTGTATCACGTATTTAAAACGACGTGAACGATTGATCGATACCCCCGTGCAATGAAACGCGATAATTCGTCAGATACATCCTCGTGTATTCCTCTGGTCTTTCGCTCAGCTCGGATTATTTGAATATGGTTGACTCTATGGGTGTGTACGTGTATCTATGGGAAATATGATACACGTTACAAGAGTGTTCCATTGTTCCTTTATTAAGCGTACGAGGTCAGTGAATGGGTTTTAAGATTAAGATTTGCGGTCATGTAGACGTTTGTTTTAATCCTGTGATCGTTGGATAATATGCTCGAGGTTTCTGCTTCGGTTGTTACATTAACTCAATTATATTTTGTATTTAGACAGGTTATATCGAGATGGTATTAATAAATTGAATTTGTGTTTGAAAGCAATTTGTTGAATATAATGTAATAATCTATTCGTTGTATGTGTTCTTCTACACGAGAAAATAGGAAATGAATATAAACGGAAAGTTATAAAGATGTCGTTGTTATTTCGTATCACACAGAATTTCGTGTCATTCTGTAATATATATAGATATTGATTTGATATTAAATAAGTAGTTTGATAAAGAGTAATTATTTGCGAAATATCATATTTTCTGATGAAATTTTTATACCAGAAAATATTTGATATAAAATTTATTTCGTTTGGATAAATATGGAATACTGCAGTATATTCTTAATATAGAAATTAAGATAGAAAAGTACGACTGTCTTCAAACTGTGTTGCACAGACTGCAGTTTATCTCTTATATCTGCAGATATAAAAAAGAAATTCAAAAATCTTTTTTATATCTCTTTAATTAACATAATTACTTACATAAGATAACTTTTAAAACAATTTAGAATCTTTAATACACTATTGATAAGATCATTACAAATAAGATTTTTCCCTAAATAAACATATTTATCGCATAATTTATCATAAAATTCGATTAAACGCTATTGAAATTAAACAAATTTTGAACCGCTATAACTCGGAAGATAATGATATTTTGGTAACGAATAAACGATGATTAGAAGCGCGGGACCTTGCCCTTTAAAATGCTTTTTTATTCATCCCGATACGACTTCCGGTTGCCGAGATATCGTCGTGTAAAGGAAGGGGTAATTTTTTAATCGTTTACCATCTCCGTCCTTTTCGCTTACTCGGAACTCTCCCTCGCACCTCGTCTCACCGACCTACCCCAAACGCCAGACGAATGACAGACGCGATTCCTAGAAATAGTACGCATTTCCAGGAAAAAAAAATATAGGTCACTGGGTCGCGAGTTCATTCATAATCTCTGCGCTATGTTAAGTGTCATAGAAACTTTGAACGCTTATATCTCGGCAACGGATTGAGATATCGACATAAAACAAAAAGCGATTTCAATGGTATGATTTTTCCTATTTTTTGAATTAATTTTGATGACAAAATCTTTTGTTTTTTCCCACCGTTTTTACATGAAAAATTTGGAAAAATTTTAAAACAAAAGTATATTATTAAAACCTTATAATAAACCTTATAATATTAAAACCTCGATGACTCTTTAAATTCTTGGATAGCCTATCGATTAAATGATTTATTTTAAGTAAAAAAAAATACAATTTTAAATGTCGTTTAATAAAAAATTATAATTATTTCTCAGATAATTTAAAAAAAAAACTATATAATCAATCTTTCGATACAAAAATTACAAGATTCTCGATCTTGAGATCTCGAAAAGGGATAGCTTGATTGGTTAACTCGATTTAAACGCGATAATTGCGAGTGTGCGAAGGGAGAGACATCGTGGACGAGGAGAAGGAATATCGGAGAACATCGAAGGAAATCCTCCCACTAAATCCGCGGTCGTGTAAAATCAGAAGGATTCCGGTTCATTTGTCTTTGCGGAAACGTACGATTTTCAAGAAATATCCAATTGTAGGGAATCGTATTTTATACTTTTACCCTTATCCTCTGAAGCTTGCCATGACTGAATGTCTATAAATCGTTCCTTCGTCGACTTTTCGAACAATCGATGAGGTAAAATAAATTTACTCAGGAATATTCATTAATGCAACGAATAACGTGAAAACGAAAGGAATTTTTGTATTTAATTTCATTGTAGAATTTTGTGAAATTTTAACCAATTATATAAAATCATAGGATACTTTCTCTTCTTGATAAAACTATTTCTTTGATTTAACTAGAACTATTTTAACTAGAACTATCAATTATATTTAAATATATTTATTAAACAGAAATACGAATAAATCTAATTGCATATTCGTTACAAAATCGATAAAGAATTACAAGCATTGCATAATCATTTTACTTGTAAATTCTTTTTCAACTTTTAAAGTTTAAAAATATCATTACCTACGTATTTATGAATAAATTTTTGCTGGAATTCAGTTGTATAAATGTAAACTTCTGTTATACGCATAACATAATTTACATATTACGTTTGCCCTCAGAGGAGTCATATAATTCTACTGCATTATTGTTTGTGTGATATATACAGCTCGTTTATAAATTTGTCTTTTTCGTTTAAATGAAATTATCTCATATTACGCGAATAAATTTACATACGATTATATTTCTTATTTTTGTAATTGGACGAATTCGAATTGTTACAATTTTCATATTACTTAAATAATTGCTCATATGCAATTTTCCCTTGAAAAACTTCCGCCTAGAATAATTTAGAATCGGATAAAAATACTTCAAAAGGTCTGAAAATACATTAAAAATTCTTTTTCGTCTGGTTAATTCGGGATAGACGTTGGCGAAAGTCGATTTACTCGTTTAGACAGGGAAATTAAATTCAAATAAGTCGAAAAATTTGCGGAAACGTCTGGATAAAAATCACGGCGAACGGCGGACGCCAAGCAAAAATAATTGGAAGAAAAATATTAGATGATTAAAAATATTATACTTGAAAATATCACTAGTTGTCAGTCAATTGTGTGGCCCGTTTTTAATGAAAAAATAATAAACCCCGCCATGACAGCAACGTTCATTAAATATAATTCATTATTGTCCCATCTAGGATTAAATAAGACATGTTATTTTTATTTCGCAAAAATTTTTTACTATATACATTCTATCTCTCTCTTCTTCACGTAAAATTAAATTTCTCCTAACTCAAGCGACGTTTTTGCATTGCCAATCTTTCCAAAATCCACGCGCAAATATATCAACGTTCTATCTCTATTTATATATCATAAAAATTTTCAAATAAAAATTTCGTATTCTCATATCATTCCATTGCAATGAACACTATTAATAAAGATTCGAAACAAATAAAAATGACTGCCAACTAAAAGAAAAAAAAGATTCATTGACAATAATAACTTGCATAATAACAAACAATGAAGAAGGAACGACGACATGACCCTTATTAACGCCCTCCGCCCTCCCCCCACCGATTCCAGCTTTGCATTTCGGGACGAAAAGTTTAACGATATTCATACAAAGAGGGATAATATCGCGGCCGGTCTGATCCGTGGGCGTCTGCAAATGAGCACTTTTTCCCCGCGCAATTCCGGTGTTATTTCACCTCGGCCCGAATAAAAGGAAAAGAAAGGCCGGCAAAGTGATGGAGATGTTAAGGAAAATATCCCACCCCCTTCTGTTTCATCCCCCTCGTACACCGAGTTTGTTGAGATGCAACGAACCGTGAAAGACGCTCGTCTTATCTTCAAACCGTGCGCGAGATACTTACCCACCCTCCCCTCACCATCCCTGTTCGAACTCCCTTTAACCATCCCTTATCCAGACTCCCCCTCGTCGTATTCCCGGCTGCTCGATAGTCCAGTTCACTCTCGCCAGAGTGTGGTCGAAAGCGTGTATCCATTCGGATTTTTGCTCGTTATTCTTTGCGTTATTCTTCGCTAAGAATCACAAATTGGATAATCATATGCTTGGGACGATGCGATTATTCGATCGATTCGTTAAATTCGATACGGTTAAATTCTGATATACTTATTATTGGGAAATTTTTTGACAAAGCGTATCTTATTCTTTCTTATTCTTTATTTCAAGCTAAATATTGATATTGTCATATTTCTCGTGCAACACTTTTTGTGTTAAGTAAGAATGGTACGAAGGAAATATGCGTTGATTCTAGACTTGAACGAATATGTAAATTATGTATACGTCAACTTGGTTTGTTTGAATAATATTTAATAGTTGATAAGAATCCTAGATTTATCGAATAATTTAAATCATTGAAGTAATAGAGAAAGAAATAAAAGAAGATGATTCGAAGAGACATAAAACACCGCGTAATTATCGTCAAACAAAATTCCTTTCATTTCACGGAAACAACAGACTCGAGCACGATTCGAAACGCGTCAATGTATGAAGCGATAATTAACTGATTCGCTTAACTGCAAATCAGCAGCGCATTGCGTTTAATTAATGAGCCGTTCACCCGATACACGCGTTCATTTCTGAATTTACGTGTAAACGCTTGTTTAAATAATTTCTCTTGATTGACAAAACGTTCGTGTTTAACGTTCATCATTCCTTGTTGCTCGAAAAATATTCTCGTTTCGAGGCAAGCAAAACGGTAGTGAAGAAAATAACGGAATTCAATGAGGCGTGAAAATATTGCTTTTAAAACGATATGATTGCTCTTATAATATATGAAACTTCTATTATTTACCTATAGAATTTATCTACTGTATTAATGACGAGAAAAAATATAATTAAATAAATATATTATTTTGTTCTTTTTATGGAAACGTTTCATAAACGAATTATTTAATATTTGAATAAATTATTTTCTCTTCGAATTATCGAATCGCCATTTGTAATATAAATATTTTATTAAATTTTTGTTTACACGTGACGAAGTTAAGTTGAAAGGATTTAAAAAATACAAACGTAGCAATAGCGTTGCCTAATGGAAATATTGTTGAGACGATCGAGGAGATTAAGTCAAAAGTTGTCAGACATAAAGTAGAACGAAAGATATGCAAGAACCGTTAAATTTTGTTCAATTCAATTTTGTTTAATTCTTATTTGATTGGTTAAAAAAATTATTTAGAATGTTAATAATTCATGTTATGATGAAACGAGAAAAAGTGACGCATAATACCTCTATCACATAGCGTCATCTCAAATATTTTTGCAACCTTTTCTTTTTATCTTGATATCTAAAATCCAAGTTTTTAAATATATAATATCTTATTACATTGAATATACCGGATATGATGATTTATCGAAATCGAATAAAGTACTCAATAATAATCTTTGAATTTACATCAATCGATATAAATGCTCTGAATAATGCTCTAAACGGTATTTTAATATTCGTATATCACATTATGACCGATAATTCGAAGAGAAAAATCAACGTCTGACTTTGATTCGATCCACTTGAATTCGCTCGGCGCAGATTTTCATCTCTTTCACTTTTAATCCAGTTGAATGGCTTCTCCCCTGCGAATTCGATGTTTTTCCACTTCTTTTCTGAGTGATTTTGACGGGGGAATCTCGTGAGCGTAACACAGACACCAGGTTGAAGTCTGATTACTATTTGCAACCAGTTTGCGTCAGAACAGATCTTCGGTTTTAATGCCATCACTAATGGATGGTAAAATGAATATAAACATTGCCGGTAATCCGCTTTAGAGATTTCTCGCCGCTCCTTGCCACTCGAGAGTTTCCAACGTTTCAAACAACTTTGCTTCCTCGGATAAAAGGTATCTAACGATAAGTACCTCGAGTATCTAGTTGATAGTCAACGGTTCTTCCCATTATCTTCTGCCAGTGTTTTTACAATTCCAGTTTAAATGCAGCCAAAACTAATTCTAAACTGGGCTTAATCTCTTAGAAAATTTAAATCGAATTCATTTTCTATTCTATTTCCGTGAACGATGTAATAAAGAAAGGATAAAATAAAAGACAAAATAGAAATATGTATGCTAATTAAAAATATTTAAAAATTGACATTTTTAAATATTTTCAACCGTGAAATACGTATAATTTTTTGGTATTTTCTTTAATTGAAAAATTCGATCAGATTTTGAGAAAATTTTGACGAAATCCTATGCATATTATAATATAATCGCAATGAATATTTAAAAAAAAAATTAACACTTTAATATTTCCCACAATCTACAAAATACTTGGAATATATTGCAACCTGCGATTAAGTAATTCGTGCCATATATTGAGATATAGCTATTTAAATTTAATTAAGACACGATACATCTATATAGCCAAGTCAAGTTGCCCGTTTATCGTAATAAATTTATCCAATCTAACATTCTTCGGGGTAATTTTAATATCACGTCATTTCGTTATTAGAATATCTACTCCTACTTTACAAACGATCTTTACAAACGAAGAAACAAAATCGAATACGTACGAAACTCGAGGTTAAAATTCTTCGAACGAAATTCCATTGCTCGAACGAATTCCATGCTCCTAAGT